TACACAGGAACAGGAAACAGAGAGGTGGGACTAAACAGGGTATAAAAAGCCTAGCAAGCCCCTTCCTCAGCACTTCTCTTATTCAGCAACATTGAAACACCTTTTCTGTTCAGGGCTCAAGCCACGTGGCCCTGTCCAACAATAAACCATCTTTCCAAGCAGCCTCCATGTCTCCAGTGTCTTTTTCCCCACTTGGAGCCGAACCCAGAAGGACATTTCTTTCAACAACAGCAAGGAAATATTGTAAGCCGTTCTCCAGTTCCAATATCAGGACTGGTTGCAGCCATTTCTCTCTTATCAAGGCAATTGGCCTTTTTTATAATCAAATTCCCACATTTCCCTATTTTTGCATAAGAAATATGCTTGTACATAAAAGAATCAGTTTAAGAAAGTTCACATCTGTAATTCTTTGCACACGGGAAAACCATTATTACTTACAACTGAATGTACATATCGGTTTTTTTTTTGCAAAAATTAGCCAAATTTGGGGTGAAATAATGGAGTATGTAAGATTGCCAAAGACAAACCCAAGAACACTTGCTCTACTTTTCTTGCCTCTCTTGAGTTTATAGCAGGATCCCTGCTTATGACTTAATGCAGGAGTCCCCCTAACCCCTGGGCTGAGGCCCACTACCAGGCCGTGGCCTATTGGAATTGGGCCATACTCAAGCGGCCCAGTTCCTCTTCCCCCCCACTCTCCGAGCCAGGCCACCAAGCCGCAAAGGTTGAGGACCACTGACTTAAAAGCATTTTCTAATATTATCCAGCCATTACTGAGATGACGGAAAGTTGTCCTAACCTCATTATTTCATAGTACAATTATAGATTCTACAAGAAGCTATACATTAATAAGGGACCTGTCTCTGCTATCACATCTTTGTGTCAGCTTAAGTGCTCTAAATAAAATAAAAGTAAGGAGTGGAGGAGGGTGTTTCTTTACCTAGCAAATACATACAGTATTTAATACTCTCTAGTGACATCCTAGTGGCTCAGTGGCTAAGACGCTGAGCTTGTCGATCAGAAAGGCCAGCAGTTTGGCAGTTCGAATCCCTAGCGCCGCGTAATGGAGTGAGCTCTCGTTACTTGTCCCAGCTTCTGCCAACCTAGCAGTTCGAAAGCATGTAAAAATGCAAGTAGAAAAATAGGGACCAATTTGATGGGAAGGTAAAAGTGTTCCGTACACCTTTGGTGTTTAGTCATGCCGGCCACATGACTACGGAGACGTCTCCAGAGAGCATCTTACAATTTTGCACTACATCTTTGAGTTGTTCTATGCTTTGGTTGGTCATCATTGATGGTGTCCAACTACCATGGCTCTTTGGGGGCCTGATTTTTTTTACTGCTAACTCTTCCAAACATGATTGCTTTCTCCAGTGAATTCCTCTGTGTGACATAGCCAGAATAAGTGAGATGCACTTTTGTGATTATAGCCTTCCAGTGACATGTCTGGTGTTATGCACTCTGGCACTTGTTAGTCATCTTTGCTGTCCAAGGAATATTCATGAGCCTTCTCCAAAATCAGTTTCTGGACATCATTGTTGAAGACAACCTTTCGCAAGTCATGAGATCCTTTTGATGCAGGAGTTTAGCTGCTTTAGCAGAGCAGAGGACATTGTAGAAGTCTCCATTCAAGAAATAGAATATAGTAATTTGAAGTTCAACAAATAAATTAAACTTGGCAAACAGTTTCTCCTTGCAAACAACTACTGAAGTATGCTATCATTGTCTTGTTCTTGCTATATATGGAAAGAGGGCCATTACTCTTAACTATTGGGCATCAATGGTTCTATCATAGCCTCATATAAAATATTTATGCTTGCTAATGCTTAAAATGTTTGTGGCTTGTTCTTAAACATGATACGTGCAATGCAGATCTTAGATCTTCTAAGATTCCAGCTTAGCTATTTTTATTTCAAAACATTTTTGAAGTGGTCTGTAAATACTGTCCCTTCAGTACAAAATATGCTTCATCCATTATGAAGCATATTTTGCAGCCCATGTTTCTTAAAGTAGGTGACATCAATATCCAACAAAATAATTCCGAGCACTTTTGTAGCGAAGATACAATGTGAAGATGAAACAGTGGCAAAACTCAAGAGACTGAACACTTCAAAAGTATTTTTCAATGATGCAAGTCTGAGTAGATCATCAGTGATCTATTTGCTGGCGTCATAGTTTCTTTCTGTCTGTAAAGTAACCATGCATTCAAAGAAGCAAGCTATCATCATCTTCCGCCAGTTATGATCACTTCCTCCCCTCCTACCACCCCAAATTTCCTCATTTAACACTCCGTTACTACCTTCCACCATACAGCAGATATAGAAAAAGTGAAGGTTACTTTCTAACACCTAGGAAATCTCTGTGAAGGGAAGAAAAAATATGAAGGATTTATATTCCCAATAGACAATTCACACTACCTTGTTCTGCTTTTCTACATCAAAGAACATATTTAGGCTCTTTATGTGCATCAGCGTCATGAAGCAAAGCTGTAACAGAATCAGACTTGTACATCACACTAAAGCATGTGATCTTTGTACTTTGCCTTACATGATATGTGAACTTCAATTTTATTTATTTAATAAAACCTGTTTTAAAATCATTGTATCAATGTACTAGCTAGTCACAATTTGTCCCTAAAGCGTTCCGGGCGGCGCATACATTTTAAACCTCAACAACCTGCCATGGGCATTTCTGCAACTGACTTTTGTGAGATTTATCCACAAATCCATACATATATACATATGAACTGAGCAATAAAGCACCAAATTAGCAGGCCACCCATTTATCTCCCCACACACAAAGGAGATTCTCTACTACCGCTATTTATTTCAGTTCTTTTTTTCTGAGTAGATGTCTAGGGGCAGTGGTTAAATGCAGCACTGTAGGCTACTTCAGCTGATTGCAGTTCTGCAGATCGGCTGTTCAAATCTCACCGGCTCA